AAAAAAAAAAAAAAAAAAAGAACATCATGAATGTCGTGACTTTTCACTTCAAAACTTGAAGTCCAACGATCTTTGCAAGTGATATTCGAACATGATGGGCAGATGCCCATAAACAACGATATCGTATCAAATCAAGATGGAAGGTTCTATGCCTTGTCGTAAATACATGTTCGAGCTGCGTCGTAAATGTGGCACTTGTTCGAATATCGCTTTGCACACTTTTTTTTCGAGTGTTTTTCGTTTCAAATATTTCAGAGAAAAGGCGATCAGAGGACTTTTCAGACACAACAGTAGGAACCGGAACCGAATAAAAGAGTGTCATCACCAGACCGAAAATTGCGAGATGCGGTATCATCAATAAACAAAGGTGAACAAGTCTAACGAAAAAACAGAGTGGTCGATCGAACTGAATGTGCATTGTACACCGCGGGTTCCGAAACAGCCTGACAAGCTACCCACTAGCCGGCAAGAATAGGTTGCATTCCACCGAAGGCACCAGCACACATGTAGTGCTCGACGTGTTTAGCACAATGCAAGCAACCGCAGGACGAACCATGACCTGTCCATACACTCTGTGCAAAAGGCAATGCATATGAAGGGGTATGGTGGTAGGAGGGTGGTTGCGACCGTGGCGCCTGTGGCATGTATTGTGGCTGGGGAGGGATCCAGGTCCGGGAGTATGGCGGTGGCGGGTTCGTATAGGCCCACGGTCCAACAGCGTAGTAGTCTGGGGTGTTAGGACCACTATGGGGGGCCGATGGAGGCGAATACTCAGACGCCGCCGGGTTGAGCCACGAAGTCTCAAAATGAGAGCTACGCTGGTACTGGGGAGGGATGGGGCCTTCAGGGGACATGAGCGGCTTGGAGATTCTAGAACCCCTGGACACGTTAGTGTCGATCGGGGCCAGGTTGTGACGCGAATCATGGGCCCGGGCGCTCTTCGCCCGCCACGTGTCCCAGTGAGAGCGCCAGGATGCGAATCCGTCCTGATCGTCATAGATGCGGTCGTGGATCTTCCACTCAAAAGCAAATAGCCATTCGAGCTCCATCGTATTCAGTTCGCTCACCGGGATGTTGCTGACCTCTGCCCACGATTTGTTCTGGAAGGTGTTATCGTCCAAAAATTTGCTCCCCAGAAGGAGGGCTACGGTGAGCATCCGGTAAACTTGACCATTGCCAGACAAAAACACCTTGGAAGAAGACAGCATGCGCATCCTGCTGGCTAAATAATAGAGACCCAGAAGAATCGTCGAGCTTGGCAAGCGAGTCGACGACAGAATCTGAAAGACGTACTTCCGGAATTGCGGCGGGACTGACGTTCCTGGGTAGACGCTTCGCGCGAAGTCAATATCTGCTAGGTGAATCTTGGTGTTGTACAAAGCATACATTCCCTGGGCCATCTCAGCCACGAAGTCGGACATCTGGTCCATCTCATAATCCAAGCGGGCTGCAACACCTCCGGTAGCCTTCTCCTCCTTGCGCGGTTGCTGTTCGGGTTGCACCATGACGTCTTGTCGGCGGTACTGGGGCGGGATTGCGCTGTCCATAGGGGGTAGCTGGACGTTGTTTCGGAGGGGAGGCAGCACATTCGCGGTAGGCATCGGACCGAACATGGGTTGGTTCATCATGGCCATATCTCTGCCACTGCGCATCGACGACGGGTGCATGTTCATCGGGGCGGGCTTGGAGTAGCAGGTCGATTGGGAGTACTGCTCAATAAATTCACAACCGCTCTGCGAGTAGCGAGGGGGAAAGGCGGAGTGGCCAACCACGTAAAAAGGGTGCTCGGAGTCAATTCTGCCACCGTTCATGATGTGGGGGGGAGTAGGAGGCAGGCCTTGAAGGCCTGGCGCGAAAAAGGACGGCATAACGAAATAAAAAGAAAAGAAAAGAAAACCAGTTCAGGATGGCGAAGGTAGACGGTTCTGGTGCTGTACAGAGTAAGAGTTGCCAGTCAGTATATTATACCACCATGGTAAAATAGATCTCCACAAATCAGGGCAACACAGAAAAATTGGAGAGCAGATACGAACCGTCTACACGTCCGCCAGGCCCTGATCCTGGGGGGAGAGCGTTGCTCGGTGAGCCGCGGCTCTGAAGTTTTGCGTTGTGAGTATCTCTTAGTTGAATAACATGGAGGTATCCTTCAACGGCACGTATCAAAACCGGGGACGCGGTTGTAAACAGATGAAAGTTGCAAGGCGAACGGAGCGCGCTTTATTTGACTGTTTGCTTTTCCGTGGTCCTCTAGTGGGAGTCTGTGGATCCTTTCTTTTCGTTGCGTGGACGGCTGTGGCCAAAATCGATGGGCTCCAAAGGCTGGGACGAATAGAGCCAATGGCACGATGTCACCAGAAAAGAATTGAGGCTAGCGACAAAGAGAACTCGTCGGGGGGTAAGGTTGGAGCCAAGGAAGGCGACGGGGGAGGTTTCCTTTGCTTAAAGTGATAAGGAACAAAGGTCACTTTCTCACGCGTTCGAAGGAGACAGCCCCGGTCCACGAAGACAACGACACTTAGTGAAAAGCTCGTTGAGGGTTAAAGAGGCAAACCAGAGAGGAATATATGGCGAAGAAAAAATCCCGAGAATAAAAACTCAAGAAGATTAAAGGAACAATGGCGGTTAAAGGTGGAGGAAAGAAATGGAGAAGGGAACGAGGCGAGGGGGAGACTGAGAGAAGGATGGGGGGAAGGGAGGGAAAAAAGAAGTAGAGTGAAGGGCAGGAGACGGAGAGAAAAGAAGGCTAGTGGTAAATTCAGAGGTGTCAGAGAGTGTTAGTAACCATCGTCCGTTGAGGATTGTGGATTGAGGTTGATCTCCGGGTCACGGGTTAGTCAGACTCCTGAACGAGTAACGAAATTCTAAAGGAAGTTTGTTAGGGGTCTTTCCATTCAATGACTGTCACTAGATTCATCGTGGGAATCTTCCGAAGGCCTACACTAAGTCCGTCTAGTACCATCCGCCTTCTGTCTGTACTAGGCCCATACACTGTCTCCAATCCACCGGCCGGACGAGTCGGATTTTAGAAAACGAAAAACAGATTTTTTTTCTATTTTTTTTTTTTTATACTATGATATTTTTTTTACCGTCCAGTAAGTTTGGTCTATCTATCCGCCGGTCAGGAGGACCCAGAAATAAAAGAAAAGGGTGAAGAGAAGAGTGTTGATTTAAAAAAAAGGCGTTAAGACATTAAAAAGATAATAAGACCGAAAGAATAATAATAACCATCCTAATTAAAAAAGCAGTTAGAAATTAATTCTTAACCGTCACAGCGAAATTACCATCGCCCAACCAAACCGCCCGGAATCATGAAATGGCGGGAAAAGAAAGCACCAGAACAAGAGGGTGCAGGCAAAGGGGGGGGGGCTTTGGCCCAGCCGCAAGACCCGACCGGGAATCCTCTTTTTAGAGTTTTCCTTTCTAAACAGAAATTTCTTACTGTATGTATATTAAGTCTTCCCCCGTCATGGAATTCTTGTCCTAAAGTGAGAAGCGCGGCCAAGGGTTTCAAGTTTAAGGGTAGCGAAAGAAAAAATTAAAATAACATAAAAAACTAAAGTCAAATAAAAACTCCCCTAACTGCAGTGTGATGGTATGGTACTTCATCGTCAGTTACCAAGAGACCAGAACACTAACGAAGCAACGGATCCATGGTTCGTTGCTGGTTTCCTTAGCGGTCAGAGGTCTAGCTGAAGCTCTTTAGACAAAAGAGTAAAAAAAAAAAAGAAAAGAGAAAAAAATATTATATGTAGTGATTTGTGAAGTAGAGTTCAACTTCTACCAAGCACCGCAAATTTGTTTACTTCGAAGTAAACAGTCATAATTCATCTGAATCACCATTCATTAGGGGTTCATCTACAGGAGACCGCCATGCAGATGGGGCACCTCCCCTCGGGCTAGTCGTCGGGGTGAGTGAATGAGGTTGGTAGGTATGAGAAACCTGCCGCTGGAGCCGTTTTGGTGGATCGGTTTTTTATTTTTATTTTTATTTTTATATTTTTTTTTCCCCTCTGATCTTTAATTTGGGGATTTTCTTTCTTCAACCCCTTCAACGTACATTGATACCACCAACGAAAGAAAGAAATTGATTGTTCTGATTCTGCACTGATCCCTATTCATCAAGATAATAATAGTAAAAGAGAAGTATCAGAGAGAATTATAGGGTATGATGCATTACAATATGGATACAATTTTTCTAATTTTTTATTTTTATTCTTGTTTTCTATTTTCTACAACGATCTTTTAATAACCCATCAATAATCTATGCAATGCAACAAGAGTCATAAAAGAGGATCAAGACCTCTCCTGTACAGAATAAAAATAAAATAAAATAAAAACAACACGACCCATTACCAAATAGGAGGGTGGAACAAGAAGAGAGGCAATGCGAGGCTGTGGAATTCCCTAAAGCTAAAGGACCAGTAACCATCGTGACTGGGAGCACCACCGACCCAACAAGGCAGCACTGATGCAAAGTCGCAGTCACACTCTCACTGAGTGATTGGAAGGGGGGCACAGGTGAACTACTGCGATAGTGACTGCCCGCGGTGGAGATAATTTTTGTACTCCATACCTGGAGGGTACGTATCAGAGTGAGGGCGTGACGCCCGTTCTTGAGCAAGAGGAGAGAAAGGGACTTGCCTCGAACCTTCGCGGTGGGTTTTCTGGGACGTGCACCTTTCCTTTTCTTTCCTCCCCCGTGCTAAAATAATAAAGTCGAGGAAAAATTAAAAACGTGTCTCTCCGGGTGGTACGTACGACGAACACACTACGTACTTTACGGGGCTAGTGTTAAAAAAAACTTAAGAGTGGGAAGATCCTGGTGCAGTGGGCTTGGAACTTGTCTATTTTCGGTCATGGAAATCCACTGGCGAAATTTCAACTCTTCAGACGAACGGGATTACCTAAGAGGGGATAATGCGAGGGTCACGGGGGGGATGATGACAAAGATTGAACGATCTTGTCTTCCAAGAGTCTTCTGTTTGTATGTATGTATGTTTGTAAGTATCCGTACATACATACTACATACAAAGGCATAGCACTGTTTGGACAGATAATCATCAAGATGCAACCTGTTGTCCCGGTGGCAATTCATAACATCATACCCAGCCTCAGTGCTCTATTATGACACCATGTATCCAAAGAAAGATAAAGCAAGGGCAGAACTAGTGGCAAGAAGAACGCCTCATTTTAAAAACGATACACTGTATCAGTCAGACATGGCAGTAATAATCCCCCGGGAAAAGCCCGTCAGAGTCGATGTACGATGTATGTAGTCGCACATACAGACACACGCATCAACAGTACAGCCGGGTCAAATTAGGCATGTCCCCGACCGACACTTATTGGAAAGAAAGCCAAAAAAGAAATGCGTCAATCGCGAAATAGCCTCTCGCGTGCATCCGGGAAACATTCTACCCACATAATTCGTTGCTCCGCCGACGTCAGATGAGACGCTGACTGAAGTTGACTGCAGTTGTCCAGGCATACTAGATTCAAGAATTCAGAAGGCCTCCATGGAAGTCGTCAGTCATCCGATGGCTGGACAATCCAGCTCAGCTGCTGCGCGCGCCCTAATTTGCCCGGATCCCCTCGTCATTCGGTGAGTGTGACTCCAGGCAAACTACCAACCAGATGGATGGAAATATATACCCAGCCACTGATTAGCCCCCCTCCTCGTTTTTTCCTGCTGGATTTCTGAATCAAAGTCCATGATCGAATGACTCTTGCCAAGATGGGGGAAGGGTTTTTTTAACGCATCCCCATTATAGGGTGGTACCTGCTCAGGTACCATATCGCCATCAACCATCGGTTCCATATTACAGCGCATCGTCGGGGGTCCAACGAATCACTGCCCCATCAGTTGTATAACCAGCCAGACCACACCCGTCCAACTCACTCGTCCGTAAGGTACGCGGTGTCCCTTCGCCAGTCCTTATTCAGACTGCACATCATCAACGGTAGGTACGGATGATTGTACATATGTACGGTATATGATTGTTTTATCTACATGACATCAAGATCCCCCTTGCTGGCTTATCTTTCAAATCTCGATACTTCGGAAGAGCGGAACGAGAGGGAGTTCATTATATGATTATTTTACCTGAGAAAACCCATGCTTATGCAGTCTAAACAATCGGGTAAAGTGGGGGTGGAGCCTGCGTGAAAGTAAATATATATTTTGATTTTTTAAAAGAAAGAAAAAAAAATCTAAACGAACTGGAAACAGGACATCGCTGCCCAATGACCTGACCTATCCCATATTACCTCGCCATGCTCCCTGACGTAGGGACCGTAGACCACTAATTCAGCCCTTGGGTTTAGGAAGACAAGCCTCCGAAATGTCTGTTGGGTTTGACTTCCAACTAAGAAAAGAACATCACGAATAGTATTGGTGCCTGTCATCGGAGAGTTAAGGAACCTTGAGAAAAGTCAGGAAGATGGACGACGGTGGTGAGGGGTAAAACCGCTGAACCGCTGCAATATCGTTCACATCATGTTCGTTAACCGCCCACTAACCCGATCCTCGCTAACGGACTCAATCCCAACTGGAAAGCAGCACATTCTAGAGCCTTAAACACCCAACTTCCTGGTTGTATACTTCGTGTGGATTGGATATACACCCCAGCCAGTCGGCTATCTTCGGTTTCCAACAACTATTTCTCCCGTGACCTAAGAGGCTTTGGATTCCCTAGAAACTGACCTGCAGCTAGGGGAAATTCGGGCTCTGAATCTAGAATGCAGAAAGACAAATCACCAACGGAAAAGTGAAGGGAAAAAAATGTCATTGACTGACAGTAATGCCCAGATTCATCTTTTGTCTATGCAACTAACTCCTAGTTTTGCCTCCTGCACCTGCCACGACAATGGAAAGAATTTACCCGGTAAATCTCATGGTTCCGGGGCCACGACATGAATCAAAAGAAGCCCAGAACGTAGTGGATATCATCGAACAAAGAAATCGAGATAGCGAAAAAAAAAAAAATAAAGAATAACAGAAAGGGAAACACCACTAAGGAGGAAAACACAATGTCATACTCGTGAGATCGGTGACAGCTGTGTCACCGATCATGGGGTCCCATAATTTTATACCTCCTGCAACACCAGACCAATCGCCAAATGTAGACCTTCGTAAACATAAGAAGAAAGAAATTCCAAATCGTAACTCATTCAATCCAAGCAATCCTGTGGAGCAACCTGATGTCTCAAGCGCAACCATGCAGGATTTCTGGAGCCGTTTTCCTGGTCTACTCACCCTTCAAGTCTCCGACTAGGCCGCGAAGCGCATCGAGAATGACTGCCTCGTCCTTCGGCTCGCCACCAGGAAACGAGCTTTCCGTGGCCTCTCCTAGGACGCGGGCGCGGGCGCTCTTGAGTACCTCTCGAATATAGTTCTTGTCTTCATAATCCTCCATGAGGACCGCTTCGAAGTCATCAATCGCCTTGTTTGCCCGGTCATTGAACGAAGACGTTTCGGAAGTGTCCACAGGACCGGAACTGGGATCGCCTGAGGCAATACCAAGATTGGGCTGGTGTTGCATGGGTGGGCCTGGGTTGGGTGGAAGGTTTTGAGATGGCGGGTTCATTGGCATGGGAGGAGGTGGCGGCGGAGCAGGGTTGGCTGGCGGATAAGGTGAATGATGCTGGGGCTGTGTCGGCATGGTCTGTTGTTGCTGCGATTGCTGATATTGAATCAGCTGTGGAGGGGGATCGGAGGCATATGGGGAAGTGTATGTGGACGGCACTGTCTGAGCAAAAGCAGGGGGGAGGTTGTTCCTTAGTGGACTTGGTATGGGGAAAGGGGTAGAGGCGGCGGGTTGAGATGGTGGCGGATAAGGATTTGATTGCTGAGGTGCAGGTGTAGGAGCAGGTGCAGGCGAAGGCGCAGGGTATGGATTTGATGGTATTGATGGAAACTGGAAATGAGGGTTCGCCATGTTTGGCTGCCCATTCGTCGGGTTGGAGTACGCTGGGTTCATAGGAGGCATGTACTGCGGAGCTGCAGGCATCGGCGGCGGCTGTGATGGCGGCGGCGGCGATGGACGCCTCTTCTTCTCCTTTTCGACTGATGCTCCCGGACGTAGTTGCCATGACCATCCCTTGCCATCTCTCTCAGCATGCATAAAGAGATGGCTGTTGCCGTTGAGGTTGTGTCGCACACTGGACGTCCAGCCTTCAGTTTCACACTTGAAACGGAAATAAGGATACTTTAACTTGAGCGCACGGTAGATCTGCTTCAACGTCATCGGTGTGCCAGCCTCGGTCAGCGCATCGAAGATAAGAACCGCATAATTGTAGGGCGGTTTGGCCAGATCTTCCGGAGTATACGCAGATTCTGGTGGGTAATTGGGCGAGGGTGAACGCGAGGGCTTGCGCTTCTTGACCGGAGGGGCTTTGATGAAGTCCTCTGGGCGCTGATCCATAGGGAACTGGCCACCTTCTGTAGAAGGGAGAGGGAAGTCCATAAGGGTGCCATCGGGCTTCTTCCTCTTGGTGTACTTCCGCTTTTCAGGTTTGGATCCAGGGGACTCTCCGCCCATAGACTCCTTGGGTGTAGTGGGAACAGTACCCGTAGTCGTGGTCTTTCCGGCCTTCGGCCGGTTGGCAGGGGGAGGAGTGACACCTCCATTTGCCTCACGTTTTGCAGCTAACTTTTGTTCCCTGGCCAACTCGGCCCGCTCACGCTTCGACATAATGCCATCCTTTGGTGGCCGTCCCGGGCCTCTACGACGCATAGGTTGTTGGCCATCAGCAGAACTTTCAATGGACGGTACCGGGCGAGTCGAATCAGGTTCTCTAGTCTTAAGAACGATCTTGGTGGTCTTCGGGGCATCCTTGTTCTCTGTACTTTCAGATTTGCGGCGTTTCTCATCTTCATCGTTCTCCGTTGCAGGGACTGAAGTTTGCGCATTCTCTTCTTCTGCCACGTGGGGTTCCTCGACCCTATCGGCACCGGTCTCACCAATTGGTACATCTGGAAGTAGAAATCGTATTCGGACACCTCCAATTTGGATATAATCGCCGCTGTGTAGAGGCCTGATCTGACCCGGCGATAACCAATCCGCACCAATGAACGCACCATTTCTTCCCATAACTTCCATCTCAAAGAGATTCTTATCAAAATTATATGCGATCTTTACATGTTTCCGTGAGATACCTCGGTGTCCGGCGGCACTACCATCTGTTGTGGCAGGAGGGTGAATAGGGATCGTTGGACAAGAATCCGGGGACGGAAGTAAAGCCAAAGCATCAACCGGTTTTGCATCTCCACCCTCATCATTCAAAGATTCCATAGCAAGAGCATTGTAATCAGTGGTATTCGACTGTAGCTGGGCCGGTGTCGCATGCATCGGAGCCCCCGACTCGGCGTGGGAAGAATTGGACGATCGTCGACTTATACGGGAAGGAAGATGGGGGGGAACATCGGGATCAAAGCCCATAATTCCACCGCGGTCACTGACAACGCTGCCTATCATGCCACTGCCTTCAGGTTTCATTCGGATGGGAGTATGCGACGTATTCCCACCACTCGAACTTTTCGCGCGGGAGTGTCTCATGGCTTGTCGGACCTGCAATTCGCGCTGATGGGCGGCCCGGGCAGCCCGTACGTCTCGTCCGAGAATAAAGGAATATGTGTTGCAGTAGAAATGGCCATCATCGAATTCCAGTTTTGCAAAAGCCTGGATGCGAGGCTCTGATCCCGCGATCGAACCGGTGTCCTGTAGATGTCCTCCGGAGTATCCAAGAGCTGACAGGTCAGCGCTCTGGGAAAGATACGCAGCTGTAAGCATTTCATTTTGTTGTAATGCCTCAAACGGGTCCTTAGCAGCGCCAGTGATATCAAACGGCGTAAATAGGTCGGAATGGTCTAGGCCCGACTTCGAAAAGAGTAGAGGGTCCGTGAGGCCTTCCGAGGGGTCGGCATGTTTCAATGATATGCTCAGATCCTCCTCTGGGTTCGAAAATGGTACCTCCGGCGGTTGGTCGGAGTTTTTCTGTTCTTGCTGAGACTCCGGCAACTCATTCGAGTTGGCCGGGATCTGGTCTTGGCCCCCGGTCGGGTCTGAAGACATCGCCGTGGTTCCCGCAGGCACGTCGGTCGACCACTGCCCATTCATCGCATCATCAATATCCTGGTGTTGGCTCGTGTCTTGCGCTGCAGGTACAGAGCGTTCCGCAGAGGGCCCTGGTCCGTCGGAAGGCATTGACGACTGGTTGCCGAGCAGTTGAGCCAAGAGCGCACTGGCCGCGGACTGACGCCTGGTATCGGTTTGCGAGCTTTGTTCGACAGCGGAAGGAGGAAAAGCATTCTCATTGGGCTCGGACTTGACAGGCATCATGCCGGAGGGAGAAGCCAGGCCATTGGAAGGAGCATCGGGGGGGTCGGGGGCAGAATCGTTCAAAGCGCGGATTGCGGAGTCGCTGGGCGGGGAGGGAGACCGATGGTCGTCAGGCTGTTGAGAACGACCATAGTCATAGATTGACGACATATTGGGACCAGCATCAGGCGGTCGATGGCCCACCGCTGGCGCTGTCATGGTCTGCGACGACGACATGACCGGCGGCTGCTGCTGGTTGAAGAAAGACAACGGGCTGGAGGGATGAGAGAAGCTGGGCGGTGAAGTGAGGCCATGGAAGGAGACAATCTAACTGGCAGGAGAAAAGAGGAGCCGGTCGTTTTTTTTCTTTACTTTTTTCTTCTTCTCTTTTTTTTCTGCCGCTTTTACTGGTCCGACACCCCGTGGTCATGTGATTACAGGTACTGTACGTGTATGGTACCGGTCCGGATCTCTTATTGTTCTCGAGTATTTTGTAGCCTTGTTTAGACCTGTTACTCCAAGAGGTACCGAGTACATGCATGGAACGACCGGATCAAGAGCTCATGCTTGTGAAAGACTGAGGACCATGTGTGACGATGTTTGAGTTGTGCTACTCTCTGTATGATGCTTGTAAACTAGTCAGTAGCTATGTACTGTACATTGACCCATAACTACCTCGTACCAAGGCAGATCATCCATTCTGTTTCAGGTTGCGATCTCCCCTACCACCCAGAAGCGTTGACTCGACGATATTTGCACATACTCGGCCCATATCTGTACTAGGTACCCGTGGAAAAAGAAAGTGTAACTACCAGTCGGGAAGTATAAGTATACCACAGCAAAGAACCAAAAGAGTTCAACTCCAGAATCTAAATACAGCAATGCCAAGAAATCCCCTGCATTACTTGCAGTTTCTCCTCCACGGATCCAGAGATGGTAACACCACTTCGTCGATCTCGACCAGAACTTTATCTCATGAAGCTATCACTATCAAATCTGGGGAATACATATAGATAACGATAATATAACGCTTATACCAACTACCAAGTTTATGCACTGTTCTATATAAGTACATATATCTATATCCCCATTGACATTCAATACCGTACCATCAATACGAGAAAGAAAATACTCCTCAAACCTCCGCTCCGACCCCAAAAAACAAGAAACCGGGAAAAAACCCCCTCATAAACCAAAAACCAACCAGCCAAACACCCACCGCGAAAGACAAACCAAGCAAAAGAGCGAAGAAAAAGAAGAAGGAAAATAGAAAAACCAAAACAAACACAAAAACCATGCCCCCAAAGTCCAAATCCAAAAAGGACATCGCTCCCCCCAAACAACGGCAACAACAGCAAACCCCCAAGCCAAACTGGCCTCCTCTCCGCCCCCTCATCCCCTCATCGGACCTCACCCTCGACCCCCTCCTCCCCGACCAAATCTACCTCATCCCAAACTTCTTCACCGCAAACCTCTGCAAAACTTACGTCTCATTCCTTTCCTCCCTGCCCCTGACCACTACCCCTGGGAAACCGAAAAAGGGCGACGCCGTTCGCGTCAACGACCGGTTCCAAATCCAGGATGAGCGGTTTGCGGAGTCGTTGTGGAGCGGGACAGCGCTGAAGGACCTGGTGATGAATGGGAATGGGGAGGAGGAGAGATCTATGAAAGAGATCTGGGGCGGGGAGCCTTTGGGGTTGAATGCGAATATCCGGATCTATCGGTATTCGAAGGGGCAGTTTTTTGCGCAGCATTGTAAGTTCTTCCTCTCTTTTTTCACCCCTTTCCCGATGTGTGGTTTCTAGCCGCAGTATAGGTTATACCTTTCGTAGATAAGAGGTAAACTTAAGAGGTTGTACGGATGTGCTGTACAATGCAGAAGCAGTTCTGCGGGCATCATTGTCTACGTGCGGGGAGACTAATGGTTGCAGACGACGACTCCAACACCCTCACTTTCTCTTCCCCTTCACATCCCTCTCAACCAGCTCGCACCACGTGGACCCTTCTTATATACTTGACTACCTGTTCCGGGGGCGAAACTATCTTCTACCCAGAATCGACTCGTGGGAATCGCAATCCCGAGCCAGTTTCAGTGGCCCCTGTCACGGGCATGGCACTTCTACATCGGCATGGCGACCGATGTCTCCTGCATGAGGGCAGCGAGGTTTCAGACGGCGAAAAGTGGGTGTTACGGAGTGATTTAGTGGTCCGATGATGAGTTCCGGTCTTCTAGAGACTAGACCCCATCCTTACTACGCTACTCACAAGTGTGCCTCTGGCCATGGATAACAGTAGTCCTATTTGCACAACAAGTGGCTCTCAGCTATGACGCGATACGAGATGCCATGTACGAGATTGACCATGTACATATGTGTATATTGACCACACTTCAGTGACGAGATCAACATTCGAGATGGTTGGAAAGAAGAAAGGACGCAGCTGCATGAAACGGACCAACCGTAGGTATCAAACGGCTGGTCCGACAAAAGAACAGTTTTCCTGCATGTAGCCACCTCCTAAATCACCTTCTTGCTTAACGGTGACAAGAAGTACTAAAGACCAGTCATGATTCGCCGGCAACGTGGGGAGCTTTTGGGCTCCATCTTTCGTATCTGGAGACAACACCCGATGCTCCCTTCACTAGATCCATTAGACACCCAAAACAAGACATACAATTAGCGATTAAAGGAAAGAGGAAAAAGAGAAAAAAAAAAAAAAAAATGAGACAGGCGATCGCATATCAAGACGTGGGGATATTCACTCCAGCTTCTTCTAAACCGAAACAGATCTGTTACGAAGCTGTAGGCTTCGGTTGAATCTGTTCATACTCAGCTCTTCTCATGATCTCCTCCACAGGTCCTAATAGCCGCTTAAATCCATCCCGACCGAGCTTCGCCACCTTCACATCAGTCTTCGTAACGATGCTGGCGGCTCGGGGTTGGTCGTCCAGAAGAGCAAGCTCTCCAAAGTAATCGCCCCGTTGATAGGACTTCACTGGTCTATCCACGCCTTCCTTGAAAGCCTCTGCCTCACCCGACTCGAGAAGGTAAAAAGCATCGCCTGGATCACCTTCTTTGATGATAGTAGAGCCAGCTGGAAACTTAATTGCGTCTAGAGCATCGGCAATCTTGGAACGTTCGTATGGCTTTAGGCTGGAGAGGAGCGGAACCTCTTCCAGGAAGGCCTCATACATGCGACGCCGCTGGAAGGCGGAATCCATGAGAATCCTTCGGAATGTGATACGGTCCAAAGCCCACAGGGTACTCTTCGAGTCCGTGGACACAATTGTCGCAGCCCGAGGTGCGTTGTACATGAGAGCCAGTTCTCCGAACGAACCTCCGGGTCCAATCGTACCCGCCTTGGACCCCATTCCATCGGAACCCGATTGTACCAAGCCTGATGGGTGAATGTAGACGTCGAAGTGACCATCTTCCACGATGTAGAAGTAATCACCTGCATCGCCCTGTGAGATCACCTTAATTCCCTTGGCAGGAATGGGCTTTTCAACCAGGGCATCGACCACTGTCTTGAACTGGTCATCATCAAGGTGGGAAAACAGGAAGTTGCCGCTGACGGCTGTCTTCAATCTGGAGACCTGTTCTTCGGTCTTTGGGTGGTGCGGGGGCACCCAGCTATCTGAACCAGCTGAGGTGGGGTTCAAAGATTCAGCAGACACGGACGTCCGACGACCCAATGCGTAGTTATTCGGGAATCCCTCATTCAAGGCACCCGTCGGGCGAGGTACTTCAGGGTGTTCGTCGAAGTCGTCATGGTCTTCATCTCCCTCCCCAGAAGGGTCGGCAAAAGGACTCCGGCGAAAACGTATTCCCCCTCCTTGTTGTTCGTTAAATACATTGCCTCCGAAGAGGTTGTTCCCCGCGGACGACGAAGCTGCCGCCGACTTTGCAGTTTGAAAGGTCGGGTCAGTTGGTGACGTCACCTCCCACTCTTCGTCCTCTGAGATCCTTCGGAATGCTGATGTTTTATCATCTTTTGTGCCCACCTTGAGGTGAGGGCTAGCGCTGGAGAAAGAGCTTTCAGCCATTGTGTCGGCAGTAGGGGCCGGAGGAGATACCTCTCCGGCCACAGGGAAGCGGGGAAGACGTGTGGAAACCGAATACCGCGACTTGAAGCCGCTGGAGAGGAAAAGCGGAAGGAAGTTGGCTGGGCAAGGTTAGATATGAGGTATCGTGAAGAGGAGGGTTGCGAAGAAAGAATGAAGGAAGGGGTTCAGGGAGGAATTCGGTAACAAGAAATGAAAACGGTGATGTGTGAGTGCGCACAGGAGCCTGAGCAGCACAGTCAAGAAGGACGAGGATGAGGGGCGGGTAGGGAAACCGACAGGAAGCACAAGTAGGAATGGATTGGGGTCTCCGCCCAAAAGTGGGTATCTCAGGGAGAAGTCTAATTGGAGAATCTAAAGACGCAGCGGACCAAAGATGGTGTGGTCGATGATGGATGATTTCCCGACTGGTAGCTCTGATGGAGACTCCAGTACCACAACGCCTGCTGTGGCTTAATGCAGATGTGTTAATTGATAGTGTAATTTCAGTGTTTCACGAGTGTGTTGTATGGGATATCCCGTGTGAAGACCGTTTATTCTTTTATATTTGTCTTTTTTTTTTTTTTTTTTTTTTTTTCTGTTTGTGGGTTCAGGAAGAAAAGATGTGGCAATAGGGAAATAGCTTCAATTGCGACAAGCTTTGGAGGGGTAACCGACAAGGCTGGTTAAGGTATCACACCTGCACCTCTGCTTTGGGTCGCGTGGAAAGTCTCTTGGGATGAGAGCGCGAAGGGAGAATAAATTAGAAGAGAAATGGAAACCACCTACCTGTGCGCAAAGGAAGTTTTAAAAAAGAAAACAAAAAAAAAAAAAAAAAAAAAAAAAAAAAAAAAAGAATCAAACGAAATTAAATAGAAAAGGGGGACGGGCAAAATAAATCAAAATGTAAACCAACGTCGAGAAAGAAAGGGGGGGATGGTGTTGATAATCGTAGAAAGCCTGCCTGGCTGAGTTCGGAGGGGGTTGCAGAAAGGGAGGAGGGGAAAGATGGACAAGGCTCTCAGCCAAAAAGGTGGGGAGCTGGAATGGAACTGGAAGTCACGGAAGCTTCGATTCTGTGGCTCGGAGCTTCTTCAATGAAGTTTACTGCGAGCCGACTCTGGAGTTATATGGTGTGGTTAAGTTCTTTCCTCCTGAATCGCTTCTACTACTATTAACTATTACGAGAGTCAATACATTAATTAATCTCACAGATATTAAATCATACTATTTCTATTAGCCAATGCCTGGGATCGATGATGGATCGGATCCTTTTCTAAAGATATGGTCATGCGCGGTCCAACTGCAGACTACTAGTGGAAGTTTTTGCAGTCAGGACCATAACGGGCTGGGGGATCGCGCGGATCGGTGTCCACCCGAACCAATCTACTACTTCAATAGCTGGACGGTGGTTTCAATAGTCTGTCTTGTCAAAAGGGACATCGAATGATCGAGTGAATGGGAAAGGAGACGAAACCAGGGCAGAGCCGGTCTTCCGAAGGGGAAGTTTTTGAATTCATGGAATGTCGTCTGGTGTTTTGTTCCATGAGGATTCCAAGTGTCTTCTAGAAGGAGGGCTGAAGTCACGCTTGCCTCCAAAAGGGGGTGGATTCCGTCATACTAACTCCTTCCTCGGCTTCTGTTGCACCACTCCATCTTAATATCCTATTTATTTATTATCCCTTTCCCAGAAATCATCGAAAAATTAATTTATTCCAATCACCTGAAGAATCTCTTTGATTGTGATTATGATGTTTATCATGGGATCTCCCTATGATCAAGCATTGCACAGTCAAAGTAACTGGAAGCCACTTGTCAATCATGATGTAGTTCATTTCCCGTCCTCTCAATGTTACTGGGCGGCAACTCTTCCCCCACCTTTCCAACCCAACTCGCTGAGGTCATGATTCTACAATAGCTCTTTTACTCTCTGACGTCTACCATCAGCACTCTGAAGAACCTTGGATCTTTTTGTCGACTCATCTGGCCAAAAAGGCCGTATTTAGTTTAGCCTTATTCTATATCAGATGCCTCCGCTTCTACAAGTCATTTATCTGATTAATCCAACTCCCTATGTAGAGACCTTCTGTTCAAGTAGCACGATGCCGATATCGCAATATCCAGGGCCTGAGTATCCTATCTACATACTTCTGATAAAAGTCGATGTTCCTGTGAGTAATCACATTCAGGAATTTTATCTCTCGGTATCAATTGAATTATAAAAAACTATCGATTTTAAATTGACTATACAGATAATCTAGTAGAGTTTTTATTAATGATGGATCAAGGAGTAAATACTCAATTAAGTAGCTTCTCGGTCCAGGCAGTACTTGACTACTTGTGATAGACCAGTTATGCTTTGATTGAGTAAGGTCGAAGATGTAACTTCGATACTACTACGGTTCACCGTTAGTAGAGTTCTATAAAACAACATCAGTAAAAAACCTTACTCTAGTATCTTCTTGTCTTCTTTATCCACCTGAATCTGACATAAACTGCCAACATCGTAGACAAACTCCCCAGTCTCTTCGCCTGTTTACTCATCCACGCCCAGCACATTCATAATCCCTCTAGTGGCCGAGAACGCAGTTTCCATGTGCACTCTAGAAGCATTAGTTATGCTTGAGTTCTCGCTATTTTGCCCTTAGCTTGTGTGATTTGTCCGGAACTCAATGTCACGTCGTGTGCATCATCGTATACTGCTGGGGATGTCCTGCACGATCTCACAGCATTGTCTCCAGTCGCCTTCAGTGATAGTGGAAGCAGAGGCAATGTAGGTATAACAGATGTCTATTTCTATTTATATGACTGGTAAAATTGGATTCAACATGGACAATTCCTATTCCGTAATACTACTAATAGCGTTGTCAGCTATTGGTATCTTCTTTTATTCGCCTTGCTTAATTGTTTCTTAGAATAGTTCAGTCCACCTTCCCATATATGAACAAGATAGGGTTTAGCTTTCCAACAGATGCGGAGGTATCGGGGTGTGCCGCCTTTGCTCATTATAAGAGTGACTACGTAGATTGGTTGTGAGTTATTAGGAATTAGACCTGAAGTAAAAGTTTGAAACAGAAAAAAGGTTAAGGCCAAACCTCTGACCTATGTCGAGACTAAGATCATACATTGAAGGTAGAACTTAAAAGCTTCAACATTTCATACATTAAGAGCTCTTATTCTTTGCAAGATGACGAGCTGTCAAGAGCAGGAAAGTCCTTCAATGCTAGAGCATCAGATTACATTGTCAATTGGGATAGTGGTGGGATAACCTTGGAAGGATTAACTGCAGAACTTATGCACTACGAAAGAACAATCCAACCACAATCCTTTTAATATCTATCGTCACGTTTGTCAGCTCAGTCTATATCACAGCGAACCAGGTGGCCAGAAAGGAAATTCATGTATCAGCATATGTAATGATTCTATAGTTACCGAATATTTCAAGCTCTACAAAGAGAAATCTACTCTCACTGGAATGAACTCTGCACCATCGAGTAAAGGGCATAGAATCGAATACTCGATGGCATTTTCTCACAGTTTCTGCGATAGATCTCGCCTGATCCTAGGGACACGGACTTGAGTATATGGTAAGGTTGCTGCCATATGATATCTACGTCTAAGCTGGGCTCCTTGGAATTCCATCTGAATTGTATCTCGACGATGGTTATGGAGTAACTCATTTGCCGAATTCAAACAAGGGGGGTTTTCTGTCTGGATCGGACTTCAGGAGTGTATAAAGTGAGTCTTTTTATTTACTCTCACTTTGTCTATTACTGTGTCCAGGATGTAGCCGATCGGTCTAGCGTTACCAAGAGCGATCGAAATGCTCATGGGTCACAACTACCTGCTCTAAATATAATAAAACGCGATGCCAGACTATATCGCCTGAGACAAACTAACAAAAACGTAAACCATATAAAATATGACAATGAGGTGATAGTAACACTGTACCGGAATATAGATGAATATATATGTGTCGGGGGGTTAGTAGTGTCACGAGAAAACACTTTAGAAAACCTATGATTACCATTAAATTTTTGCGAGGAACACGCAAAACAAAA